ATGTTGTTTCTGATGTCTCCTCTGTCAAATTATAATTAGACAAAAAGATGAGTCTCCCAGAAGGTCTGAAAGTGAAAGCAATCAAAAAATAAGTGTAGGAAATACTTACAGCAGCGCTGAAACGTGTCTTGATGACACCAGGGGCGACACAGTTGACCCGGATGTTACTCTGGGCGAGATCAGGAGCAAGCGCTCGGGTTAAACCAAGCAGGGCAGTCTTACTCACACTATAAGGCCCCAGACCCTAAGAGTTGAAGAATGACATAAAGGGGAACTCTCAACTAGTGCGAAACAAGTAACAGTTGATAAAAGTTATTATCGGTGAATTGACATGGCTGCTGCATGATTAAACTTTACATTGAACGCATAGGTCTTCATACTTGCAATGGCTGGTATCCTGCGACTGAAGACACAATGACAACTGACCCACCTCTGAAAATGAAGGCGTATTCACAGGTATAGTTTATTTTGTAATACATCTTTTTCTTCCTCTTTCCCCACTATTTCTACTTGTCTCTCACCCTCTTTTCTCCATGTGAGGCACGACTTGTTTTATGAGAAGGAAAGAAGCCTTCACATTCACTCCAAGTATCTGCAGACATAAAGCAAATGTCAGTAAAAGTATTTAGATATTATAATATGTTATATATTTATATACTTTTTTTATTTGTGCTTAATTTCTTTTATTAAGGTTTAATAACTTTGTTATACTTTGTCCCAGACTTCTTCAGTGGATTCTAATATGTTCCCAAAAAATGGGTTCACTGCTGCATTAGACACCAGTATGTCCACACCGCCACACTGCTCGATTGTCTGAAATAAATGAAGCAAACGGCAACATTTAAAGTCGCTATAAAACGGAAGTTGCGATAGTCTTTTTTTCTCTACATTTGCAAGTGAAATTGCTTCTCAAACAAGAAACAAATTGCAGGGTGAGTTTTGATTTTGTGCATTGGGAATTGATTGGATTGTTGGATCATTGTGGTTTGTTACTGCAGTGATGTCATGTGAGTGACAGGTTGTCCCACCCTCACGCCAGTAAACGCATCATCAGAGGAGAGAAGAGATGAGGGTGGGAAGTTATTTTGATTAAAGATTACAAGAGCAAATTAATTGAAAAAAAAAAAATATATATACTAATGATGTGTATTGCGCAAGGAAAAATCATTTATTATCAAATAAATCAATGCAATATTCCATTTTTTTTTTAAATGTCCATTTTGATTTCATGGCGACTTTAAAACATTTCGTAAGCTTAGAATTTTAAGGTTCTATCTCCACTTTTGGTCGAAATTGAGTTTTTGACATAATCTGATCCATTAGGTGTGGTGTTATTTTTGTAAAGAAAAAAAAAAAGATTAATAGATAAAGCTATAATAGAAGATTATACTACATAACAGTTTTGCCAGCTGGGATGTTAAAAAACTTTGATGCTCAATATCTCAGAACTACCCTAAACGGAGATAGAACCTTATAATCCTAAGCTCATGATTTGTTGCCAAAGTATATTATACATTTGCAAATCTTTTTTGGAGGTTTACTGCTTTTAGCAAATAATTTCCTAAATATATTTTTAACAAAAAAAAATGTTAATGTCCTCACCATGTTAATGAGCTTCTCTCTGTCTTCTGCCTTCCCCACATTGCATGTGGTACCTATTACTTGTATATTTTTGCTGCGTAGGAGTGAAACAGCCTTGTCAACGTTGGTTTGACGTCGACTGCTCACAACCACATGCGCTCCCCTCTGACCCAAGGCCTCTGCGGCTGCGAGCCCAATCCTGAGGAGAACGGTCAGTGGAAGGGTAAGTATGGACAAATACATTTTTACATTATTTATATTATTAAGATTTACTAGCAGTTATTACCAGAGGGACTTTTTTTATTTTGCTAAAGCTCTTTTATTTTAAGGGTCTGAAACTAAAAAAACAATTGGCTAAAATTGGAAATCAAGCATCATACCCATCTGTGGATGCAGTTACTATAGCAACTTTTCCTGACAAATTTGGTGATATATGATGGGACAGCATTCTTCTGCCAGCAACAGAATTTGGCCAAAGCACCTGGTTAAAGCCTTCAGCATAGCCTACAGAAAGAGAGTCTGCATAATAATTGGTAATTATTACTTACAGCTCTAAGTAGGACAGTGGGCTAAAGGTCATGGAAGGCAAAATTCAGAGGTACACAAAATAGTTTTCCTTTAACATTAATAAAACGATTACATTCCTTGCTAAGATTGTGAGGTGAGAATGTGTTTCTGTGACTTATTTCGGAAACCAGGAAGTTATCATGCTTTTAATTAACATTACTTAAACAGAGATAACTGTAAGAGCGTCAAGAGCTAAAGAGCTAACTAAGTCAAGAGCGACTCAAATGAAGTTATTTTAAACCTTTAGAACTTGATAAATTGTGATTAATAAAAATTATAGCTTAATAACCAGAAATAAAGCTTTACCTACGCGCTGAGGTGGTCTGTTGTTCTGTTTGCACAGAAGAGTGATGTAATACGGTGGCCGAGAGGTGCAAAACAAATCACAATTATAAAAATAAAAAAAACAGTTAGAAGAAAAAAGTCAGAAAACACAACGACAATTCAGAAACCAAAATAACAATTCAGAAAACACAACAACAAATCTGAAAACAAATTAACAAATCAGAAAACACAAAAACAAATCTGAAAACAAATTAACAAGTCAGAAAACACAACGACAAATCTGAAAACAAATTAACAAGTCAAAAAACACAACGACAAGTCAGACAAAACGGAAAAGGTAGGGATATGTCTATGTATGTGGCATGGCTCTGTATGTGGCGAATGGAATACTGATCGCTGATTGGACAAGGCATCAGTCAATCAAGACATACAGAAAGTACAGCAGACTGCGCCTGCGGCAGAAGAAAGATTGATTCGCATGTGCATGTGTAAATATTAGTGATATTATGGAGAACAAAACTTTTCAAATTAAAATCTTCCTACCACTATCTGGTTTGGTCAGGCAAAATTATAAAATAACTCGAGCAGGTAAAGTGGGATATCGGCCCGCATTTAAAAGCGAACTTAGCGAAGGATGGCTACAGTAATCACAATGATCTGTGATTAGTCCGTCCTGACCAGCGCTGTAAATAGTTATACTATATAATATTTATTATGTCTATGGTCAACGCCTCTCTCCTACGTCATTGCCGTAGAAATTATAATTTCGGTGCTAGTTTGGAGATTAGGTTGTTACATGGTATCTGCAACTATTTACAGCGCTGGTCATGACGGACCAATCACAGATCATTGTGATTACTGTAGCCATCCTTCGTTAAATTCGCTTTTAAATGTGGGCCGATATTTTTTTACAGTCTATGGGGCCGATAGAGATTACATTTTCTGAGCCCCCAAGCGCCCTCTGGTGGAAGATACGTTTAGTCTCAAGGAATATTAGCCTAATAACTAATGCCTTTGAGCTTGCGGATATAGCTAGCCTACAGTAAAATAGTCAATTCCATTATTCAAAGTTATGATCACCCATTCTTTTACGCATAATATTCTATTCTTATATTTATATTTAACAATATAATGCACTGACACTGTTGAATGAGAACTGAACTGAGCTGCATGATGACGTCACTGTTTTATAGATGAAATGAACTAATTTAATAATTGATAACATTTACAACGGAACTGAATCACTGAACTGACTTCAGCTGAACAATGACACTATTTTCTTTTATAGCTACAGTATACAGCAGAAATTTCATCACTGAAAAGCTTTTTCTCTAAAAATCTGTAATGTAAAAGCGCTTTATAGCCTAAATAAAGGTGACTTGACTTAATATATGAGTAAAACATTTTAGTTAAATTCAAGTAAAAATCTCTGGCTTAATTTAAATGGAAGATTGCATGAGATTTATAAAATCTGAGCTTTTAGAAATTGTGTGCCCATGGTTTTGCACGTAGGCCTATAGCCTACCTGTCTCCTTATCACTGCAGGGACTCTTTGCTTTGGTAAAAATATGAGTGTAGGGTTAGAGTTTTTTAGTTGCAGCTTGTGAGGGCAACACACATTTAAACATCACTAGGCCTATACCTTGCAGTTACCCTTTCCTTTTGTTCTATAACAAAGCTTTGTGTTTGTTCATCATGTGGTTCCTGTTAGGGTTAGGGTGGTTCCTCTTGTTAGCTGTATGCTATGTTTTCAGTAAAGCATGATCTTGGTTATGGGGATCCCATGGATACCATGGGATTGGGAAAACCATGTGGAACTGCTCAGTTCTGTTATTCTATGTTTAAGAACCTTTCAATATATATACTTTTTTCTCTTTTATTGTCATTTTTCTATAAACACAAAAACTAAAAGTACATTCGCCTTAATCTTGCATGGCCTTTTCTTCTTCTTAATGTCTTTGAACAGTCGCTTATTATTGAATCACAGCATGTATGCTGATGCCCAGCCACTAAAGGTAAACTCAATATAACCACAAAAATCTGACTAAAAAAATAGTGGCATTATTGGCTTATCTTTTTCATGGCTATACACAGTAATATGAATTTTTATCATGTGTTTCCTTTACTATTATTTTATGTGAAGATAATGGAATACCAGCTAATGCAGAGTACTTGTTTGACAGAAGCCTCCTGAGATATTTATAAGAGGAAATTCCTATGATGTAGTTAGAAAGAGATTTATTCTTGTTTAATATAAATATGGTCATCATACGCTTACATTGGCGCAGTTGCAACCTTCAGTCAGAAGCAACATTTAAAAAATAACAAGACGATAGATAGATAGATAGATAGATAGATAGATAGATAGATAGATAGATAGATAGATAGATAGATAGATAGATAGATAGATAGATAGATAGATAGATAGATAGATAGATAGATAGATAGATAGATAGATAGATAGATAGATAGATAGATAGTCTTCCACTAGAGGGCGTGACGCACTGTAGCACTCGCGCGCTGACGGGCACAATGAGGGGGGAGCGACCATATGCGCTCAACTGTAATTCAAAACCAAGAAGGCCAGGGTAGGGCGAAGCCTGGCGGAGCGAGACGTGTATCCCTAAAGAAAGAAAAGAAAAACAACAGCCGTGCATTGTAGTCTTTTGAGAAGATATGATTTGCGAGGGTTGACTCTTTTGGTGTATTTCCAAATGCTATTCCCAGACATGTGAACGGTAAGACGAGCATTGCTTATTTAGTTAACAGTTAACGTTACACTGGCTAAAACGCCGCTGGTTTGCGTCTTTGTGACTGAAATAAATGCATCCTTTATTTTGAAAAACCGCTATTCATACGTCTAATGCATTTGGCACTGGTTTATGCGGGGAATGGGAGCTTTTCCTTGTTTTCTTTATTTTATTTATCCGTTCTTTTAGACCTCTGTTTGTCTCATTGGGGTTGTACTGCATAAAATAAACCTTGAGATGTCTTGGATGGAAAAGGAAACGTGGCTTAGTACTGTGATTTTCTCTCTCTCTCTCTCTCTCTGATGCAGCCTAGTGCGTTTTAAAAGACTTGAAATAGGCTTGGAAAGTAGGCTTTTAATTCGTCATTTTTATTTTATAAAAATACATTTTGTCTTAATGACTGTTACCTCAAAATACCAGTGTCCTTGCCTTTAGGCTGTTGTGCCTAAATCTGCTGAAGTGATTTTATGTATTAATTTCATTCATTTAAATTGAGAACTAGAAGTATGGTACAGTATATAAAACTTTAATGAACAAATAGAGCACAATGTCTAATAATGACTAAGGTATGACGTCATATAGCCCCTTAATCTTCCATTTATTTAGGATGGGCAAATATAAATACCAAATTGCAGCTGTACTTAAAATTGTTAACAGCCAAATTCCCATGAAATAAGACCTTAGATCTTTTCTGTCTGTACTCCCCCACGACTGGTCTGACTAGTTTAACCGTTCCAGCTCACTGTTTCTTAAGGGTTTAACAAAGTAAATTATGTATTACCGACACATTACTATCTTATTATGATTTAACAATAAAATGTTTGTTTTGATCCTCCAGGTTCAATATGTGCAGCAACTGTCAGATGTGATGAAAGTCACAGACTGCAAGGGACAACGATCATGGTTTTGAGAAATTGATCTTTCTGGAAATAAAGGCCATCGTATTTACCACCACTACACAGCTCAGGTTAATGGAAAACCAGATCTGCAAAACCTGCAGATGAGTCACACGGTGCACATGTAAATGGGATACATCTTCTGTGGAGAGCCCATGTGGAAATAACATCCAAAAACTGTGGAGAACCAGCTTCAATCATGTCCCTTTCGGTAAGTGTGTAAGTTTCCACTGTCTTTTCTGTCCCATCCGTAATATTTATATCCATTGCTAGTATGGAGGAGGGGGAACTAGAGCTCAGCTTGCCTCAGAGCACCACATCCCCTGGGGGGAATAAGAGAATGAGAGGGAAATTTAGAGGTATAGACCGGGGTGACAAAAGGACCTAATACAGGGGGACAGATGTTGAGCCCCTCCCCCAAGAGTCTTTCTCATTATCATCAAATCGGCGCCTCTTTCCTTTAATCACTAATTCTCTCTCTCCCATAATCACAGACCTCTGCCCTTACTTATGCATTCTCTCTATCAATATTGATTTACCCATGAAGGCAGTAGCGTTGTGTTCTGAATACAAAAAAACCTTAAGGCCAACTCATTACATTCATAACGTCACTCGAACTGTACAGCTTATATGTGCTGCCCTTTTCAGATGCTTTTAAAGGAGCAGTTCTTGTGTAGGTTTTATGTATGCCAAGAATTTAGGTCAGCAATGTCATTGCTATGCACTACAGTACTTAGTCTAAGCTATATTTGTGTAATAGCTTTTTTTTTTTAACTCGGAGACAATTTATTTTCTGTGATGATGTGCTAGTTCTGTTTAAGTAAATGGGAAAACAAATTGATTTATGCCCACTGGATCAACCTGGTGGAACTGGCCAGGTTAGATCCTCTATGTTGTATCCTCTTTTTTTACTTCCCTTCCTAACACAATGGGGCTCTAATGCTACAGAAGTAGAGTCAGCTGAAGGCTAAAATAAATTCATTTTAACTGAGTACATTGAATTTAAACAACAATTGAATTACATTGTTGCTAGCAGTCTAGTGAAAGCATTTCTACTGCACTGAGTGTCCTTCCCCATTCCCGTCAGAGGACCATGCCAATGACTTTTTTCTCTCTGTTTCTCTTTTTATTTACGCAGAATGGTATTATGTTTTGCTGCTTCTGTTGCATTTGCATTTAAGCCTTTAACATACACTTTTATTCAAAGCAACTTATAACAGAGGAGCATTTGTCACAGAGCCCAAAAAAAATTCATAGAGTACAGTGTCAGGTTTATTGGAAAGGTAGATTAGGAAACAAGCAAGTGCAGAGGTGATTTATGTCTTGGTATGTTTTATTTAAAGCCTATGGATCCTTCTCCTCCTAATATTGTCTTGTTTTTTTATTGTCTTGTAGACGGTGCTCGCAAAGGCTCTTTTTGACAATGCCGCTGAAAGTCCTGAGGAGTTGGCATTCCGCAAAGGTGATATCTTGATGGTTCTGGACCAGGAGCAGGACGGCGGACCAGGGTGGTGGCTTTGCTCTTTACATGGCCGCCAAGGCATTGCCCCCGCCAACCGATTACGCCTTCTCCAAACTGCTCCTACTCCCGCTTTGAGTGCAGGCACAGATCCCCGAAGGGCTCCTAGTGTGGACTCTGTCCATTTATCGTCTAGCCAGCATTGCAGGGTAAATGGATTGAGCGCTGAAGATTCAGATGGGGTGTATCTCTCACCACCCAGCTTAGCTGAAGGAGTGTACCAGAGCCCTGGGGCTGGTCCGTCTCCAATCAGGTCTGGAGAGCTACGTAACTCTGATGCAGGAAGACCACGATCGCATTCTAGTTCTGGCACCAGGCCTCGTCCGGACTGGGGGGATGTGGGTGTGGTGGGACGACCCCGCTCGCCCTCACTTAGAGGACGGGGTGGCGAGTCAGGGACCCTCTACCAGACACCCACCTCGCCTGCACCACAACACAAATCACAAGGTGCACTGGCATCAGACTCAGTGTACCTGACTCCAAGTGCTGTTCCCAGGTCTGCAACAGAAACAGCAGGGGAAGCAAGATATTTAAGCCCACGAGATGCAGGGGCTGGGCATTCTGATGGGTGCTACTTGGTGCCAAGACCAGCTGTCACTGTGCTGACCAATGAAAATTTATATCAGACTCCTACAAGTGGTTCCACAGTGGCAGGACAATGCATACCGGGAATGACTTCAAGACTTGCGGATGGGATCGCACCCAGAAGTAGCTCGACTTCTTCCATTAGTCCTTCTCAGAGTAAGAGTGGCCAGGATGCCCCAGGAATGTACCAAACCCCAACCCCGCCTGGGGGAGCCATATCTAGGACCCCTCAATCTGAGCGAAAACACCCTGCTGGAACTGTAGGTGTGTCTGGTGCCTCAACACCTGGCCAAACTCTTAAGCAAACACCTCCTTCTGCACGAGGATCCCAGAAGGGTACTATTTCAACTCCTCCTGCTGGTCGAGGAAAACAGGCCCAGGGTGTCCTCAGAGATTCCCCTCTACTCGCCAGGATGGGAAAGTCCGGAGTACCGGGGTCCCCAAACCTTGGCCGCAAACCCCCTCCCCCAGCACCTCCTGTTAGAAGTGTAACCAGGAAGGATTCACCACATTCTAACTCAATTCCACCCACTAAACCTGTTCTTCAGGATCACCCTGCACCCCCACCCACAAACATGTTGGAGGCAAAGGGACAAACACAAGCAGAAGAGATGAAGAAAGACAGTGAAATGGTGACCAAGAGGGAGAGTGCAAGTTCACAGGATGAGAAACTCAGCGAGGAGGTGAGATAAAGGAGCCAATTGAACTTGTTTGGTAGATCGCCAATGAGATTTTGAATGCTTATCCTTGTTTTTTCAGGTATATGATACACCACCCACTAATAGGTGGCAACATCCAGTTTCTGCTATGCCTTCTGAGGAGGAGGATGGGATCTATAACACACCTCGTGCTCTACCCCTACACACTGACCAGGCCTCTGAGGTAAGAAACACAAAGGGAAATGAATCTGCTTTTGTCCATACAGTGAAAATGAATGTGGGCCGAGTTCCAAAAAGAGTCAAAAATACAGTCAAAACATGAAATATTATTACAATTTAAAATAACTGGAGAATTTTAATTTATTTCTGTGATGGAAAAGTTGAATTTTCAGTAGCCATTACCCTAGTCTTCAATGTCACATAATCCTTCGGAAATCATTCTAATATGCTGATTTCTGCTCATCGTCACAGAAATTGGAAATCGGTTGTGCTGCTTAATAATTTTAAAGAATCCTTAGAACATTTTTTTTCAGAATTTATGATGATTAGAAGGTTCAAAAGAACAGCATTTATCTGAAACTGAAATGTTTTGTTATGAAATAGTAACATTATGAATGTATTTACTGTCATTTTCAATCAATTGAATTTAATTGCAAAATAAAGCTATTCATTTATATTTTCTTTTTGCTTGCTGAAAAATTAAACATTTTGAACGGTATTGTACATTCATGTAAATAAGACTTAAGCTTCAGTGTAGCGGACTATTTTCATTGTAGGGTTGAGTAAAGGATGACAGATTATTTGCTGAAAATAAGAGGCTTTGCACATTTATGTACAATCTCTTCATTTATGCTGCATATTACACTTCTTGAACTTTAATCTATTTGTGGCCTCTGTTGTATGATAAATTGTTGTGAGCTTTGTAGCCTATATTTTGATTTGTGCGGATCAGCGTTTATTTTTTTCCCCATTACATTAACACATAATCTCTCCTCTTGCTGTTTTTACCTCACTGTTTTTCTTGTTCTGTGTTTCTCATTTCTCTCACTCCTCTCCTATTTCTTTGTTTTTAAACCACACCTTTATTTCTGCTATGAGCTAATCCGATCTAATACTTTTTGTCTTGTTCACACAAGTCACAGCTGCCTGTTGGCCTGGGCTGATCAGCCAGACCCATGTGGCTCTCTTCAGCCCTCCACCCACAATCTTTCTAATCCTCTATCCATTTTTCCTATTAATCCCTACTGAATGCTCAGCAGTGGATTTTTGTACTTTACACAGAGAATCAACTGTAAATAAATGTAGCAGGAACCATATAATTATGTCTTTTGTTATTAGATTTTTAGTCTTAATCCATAGATGTTGTTGTTAGTTAGCGTCAAATTGGAACCTGTCACATGGAAAATTAGTTTTAAAGAGGCTCTGGTTACATATTAATAGCGGCGACACACAAGAGACACTCCAAGGTCATTTAACTATGCACTGTTAGATAACATATATACTGAAGGCCGGAATACACTACACAAATTTTGCCCAGTTTTTTGTGCTGATTGCAGTCTGGACTGGAGAAGTCAACATTAGCTGCTAAAAGTCAGAGTCAATCTACAGATTATGGGCAGCCAGTTGATAGATTTCACAGAAAATCATATAGAGTATGAAGGGCACATATACTGTGATTTAACTTCAGGATACCACACAAGTTTGATATTTTAAGCTGGTTTTGAAACTCTGGTTTGTTAGTGTGTGATCCTCAGTCGTTTAGTGTATGTGCCCAGCTATTCTCTGTAATTGTTTACAAAGTCTGCAAGTGTATGATGCCTAGTGTTTTAAAATCTGTTCAAAAATCTGTGTAGTGTATTCCAGCCTTAAGTTGATCAGTAGCCAAGACTTTGTGTTCCCACTCAACAGCATGATTACTGCATTAAGGCACAATGACATTCATGATCACTATAATACTGCATAAGTGAATAGAGTTTGAGATCCTGAATCGGCTGTAACTATGTTGTCGTCTCTCAATTCTTTCAGATTTATGATGTTCCTACTCTGGCCCTGAATTCCTCTTCTGACCATCAGCAGCAAGCCTACAATATTCTGGGATCCGCTGCTGTGGCTGGAGATGCAGAGGATGAGGATGTGTACAGTGTTCCCAGTCTTCCTGGTTTACCCATGGAGGTGAGTGAGGGATTAACTGCAGAAACCACTGGAAATGGACGTAGCTATTCGATTTCCAGTCCAAGAAAGCAAGACTTAACCTCTGAGGATGTGTCGGAACCTGACGGAGGCATCTACGACATGCCTGCCCTCACTCTGGAAATCCCAACACGCCGTTTGTCTGTATCAAGCACCGGCTCCGGAGACATCCAGTGGAAGGCGTCTCTCTCTGCTCTCGTTCAATCCGCTCTGACCTCCACCTCTCTCACCACCACCCCCTCCCGAGACCTCGCCACGGCGTTGGCTGAGATCCTTTCCGTCTGGAAGGCTGGCCATGTTGGTGATGTTCCTCCAGTTCTCCAGCAGCTTTGGTCCCGTCTCTCTGACCTGCTTCCCGCCCTCTCTGTGTGCGGTACGGCCCCTCCAGCTGATGGTCTGCTCACGATGGTCCGCTGCGCTCTTGAAGACACCGCTTCCCTTTTACAGAGTCAAGCGCGACCTCGTCTACCTTCTCAGGAGTCTCTGTCCCGGAGACCTCTACCTGCTTTGCCGGTGGCGGAGGTCAAACCGATCTCAGGGGACATGGGGTCACGGAAGGGCAGCTGGATCCAGGAACGACCACTGCCGCCTCCGCCACCTACAGCTTTCCCATTGCCCTCAGCACCAGTTTCTTTAGCCCCTACTGTGGGAAGGATGGAGGATGAGGAACAAGGGAATGAGTATGCAGGAATCGGTCTAACTCCTACTCCGCTGCCTTCATACCCTGTAGGTGATAGTGTGGGATACGTCAAACTGCAGGTTAGACACATGTTTTATCGAGAAATTGTAAAGTACATATGGATATAATGCTGGAAACAAATGTCCAAACACTGATGTTATTGTTCCATATTTTATTCAACAAGTATAAGCACAAATGCTCATCAGGCAGAGGGTTTCTCTTCTTTTTACACTGGTCAAATACAATTTGGAACAAAAACATCAGTTAACTTTTTCTGTCTTGTTCATTTAGTCAGACGTTTATTTATCTTCTCACTCTGTTCATGTTTTTGTGCCTGTAGTCGCCTTTGTTGAAACATTTCTGTGGTCTACAGTTCTCTTTTTGCGGACATTTACATTTTTTGTTGTTGTTCTGAATTAGGGGAAGCCGGAGCCTCCACCAGACATCCATACAGAGCACAGTTCTTCACAGCTTATCAACACAGCTGATAATAAAGTAAGTCTTTGATTTTCTGTTATGCCCCCAAAACACACACATACACTCATACTCACTAAAGGTCAGTCATACAGAAGGTGTTTTTGCATTCTGGCTATTATTTGTCAGATGATGATAAGTTTCGGAGTGACGTCTTTGTCTTTTGCAATGCATTTAGCTGTTTTTTTTTTTTTGTATCTTTCACCATGAGGATTGCATTTTAAACACTCAAAGAACCACTCTGGAGAAATTGCAACACACTATAATAATACTTAAAATTATACCTAAAAACATACTTCAGAAATTCAACACCCAACCGAACCCTTTCATAGATAAGCTACTCTGAATGAGTTTCATCTCAGCCTAATGAAACTTTATAGAGTCTAAGAGGACTGTTCTGAGATTAACATACTTATTAACATACTCTAAATATGCATTTTTAGAAATTTTATAGGGCGCTAGTATCTGTTCTGTATCTTAATATACAGTAAATGAATGATCTTATTCTCTATTTCTCTACAGTTGACTCCTTCACCCCAAGTCTCTCTGACTCTGGAAGATTCAGAGCTGCTCTCCTTCTATTCCTCCCAAAGTCTTTCTCATCTTTCTTGCCTGGCTGATGCCATCGACTCCCTGTTCACAAGTGTCCAAGGGAACCAACCACCCCGAGTCTTTGTTTCCAGGGGGAAAAGTCTCATTGTGACTGCACACAAACTTGTCTTTATTGGAGACACACTTGCAAGGCTTCTCAGCTCTTCAGACCTCAGAACAAAGGTTAGAACATGGATACTCTTATAAGAGCTTTTGTTTTTATGTTATTGTACAAATTCTTGATTACAAGTGAATGTACTTAATGATTCATGCGGTGACATGTCAAATTGTGCGTCATGGTTGATAACCCAAGGGCAATAGTCAACAAGAACAGTCCGGGAAATGAACAAGCTGTTGGTAAACATGTTGACGGGTCAGTTTCCAGCAATGTGCTAATTATAAACAGGTGACATTATTTAAAGACATTTACACACAATTGCTATTTGTCTCCTCAGGTCACCACCTCCAGTGGACGCCTCTGCCAAGCTCTAAAGGCCGTTGTCGTGGCAACCAAGGGTGCAGCCCAGAATTATCCTTCAGTCCCGGCTACGCAAGAAATGGTGGACAGAGTAGCTGATCTATCCCAGCATGCAGCTGGGTTCTCTGGGCTTTTGCAGCGATTAGCCGAGATATCTTGATGTTATTTGTGCGGGATTTAACTTTCATTATTTTTCACAGTGGAATGCCTTATTATTTTTGTTATTTTTATATATATATATTTCACAGTTGATTGCGTTTGAGGTGGTATCAAAAGCGTGTCACTGCTTGTATCGGTTCAACAGTGATAAATGGTGATCAGACAGTTTGTGAGTATGTGTTGGAGTGTATCTGCTTGCCTGTGGAGGTTTTTGACACTTTAGACTGGTGTTTCTTTTTTTTTCTTTTTGGTGCCAAGCACACTTAAAACGTTTTAATAACTTATTAATGGATGTTTTTGTTTGAAGAACCTCAGGCACATTTTAATAGCTTTATTTTGTCCCCTTAACCATATTGATATCAATGAGGTAAAAGTGATTTTCGCTATTTAAGGGTGCTCTTGTAAACTGGTTTAATTATTCAGTTTGTTTGTAAATGTGAAGTGGCCTTGGTGTTATAGAGATTGAAGTGACTAATTTGAAAGCCCAGGAGGTTTCAGTTGTCCTGCAAATGTAACTAAAACAGATTAAGTTAAACTAGTTTCCGAAGTTGATCAAGGAGGAATGCTTGATTATTTAAACAGACATGAAGTGAGCGATTCAATGTTTAATTTTTGGGAGAGATATTAGATAGTGGTTTCCCACAATGCGGATTCAGATAAACCTGTCTGTCAGGTCCACTCAACCTCTTTTTCACACTCTTTGTTTCCCTCACTGATTTTTTTTCCTGTAATTTTCACACTCCCACAGTCAGTTTCTGCTCATGCTCACAAAGGCAGCTTAAGGGTGAAGCAGTTTGAGCAACAGCTCTTGCACAACTAATATTATACAGGGTTTTTTGTTTTTTAAATATGCTATGCAGCATTTCTGAGCAATATTATCCATTCGCTTCCAGAGTGGCAGTCGAAATGCTGGTGCTTACAATAATTCGTATGTAAACAGGCTTAGTTCTAACGAGACTGAGCTTTGTGTATTTTACTCATTTAAGAGAGCTCACACAGGTTGAAACATGCACCTGTTTCCCTCCTGTCTTGAAAAATCAAGTCTGTGTCATAAATGTACACTCGTGTTTACAAGACGCCCTCATAGTCTGTACCTCAGAGTCCATTCCTCCATCTGTTAATTCCTCCACCTGCTCTCTCTCTCTGCTCCTTCCCCCATCTCTGTCTGTAAATGCCCACGTCTCATCATGTTGGGTATAATGCTATCAGTGTTATTCTTCCTGTTTAACTTTAGTTTAGGTTGACTGGTTTATTTGGATCATTATGACTTCTCATAATGACATTATGACATTGATCAACATGCAATAAAACTTGCAATTTACTGAATCAGCCATAACATGTCATAGTTTAAATCTCAAGTAGCCTTCTATATATTTCTGCCTTTTTTTAAAAAGTGGCCTTTTTAGTTTTTACATATTTTGTCAGTCCTATCACAATGGATGCAGTGGACTTGGTGTTAAAATGTGTTGAAAAGTCCAATTGGGTGGAGGAAGTTTTGAAGCGGTTTTAGATTATTTACCCTGGTGTTGGTGTGTTAGTTGACTCAAAGTGCCACCTGGTGGGCTTTATCAGTATTACTTTACAACCTACTTGGATAAGTAAAAAAAAAGAAAAGAAAATAAGAACCTCACCTCAACAGGTACTTCAAAATATGCTTTTAAACATTCTCTGGTAGATGGACAAAACTACAAAACTAACTTTTTCTTGTGAAGGAGCCCTTCTATCCTTCTGTACAAAATATGTATTATATAACAACTGCAATTATCAGTAGTCCTCAACAAGCAAGCTTTCCTCTGAAAAAGGCTCACATATCTTGTTTGTCTTAAGTTCTTAAATTAAGTGCTTATAGTAATGCTTAGATTTGATGGCCTATATAGTTATATTTATTTGGTTTTGTTAATCAAATGTCTGCATGGCTTTAAGTTGCTTATTAAAGAAATATATGCACATGTAACCAGGGATGTTTTCACGCAACTTTGCATTAATAATTCAAAGTTTGCTTTAAGAATGTGATATTTCTTTATTTGGTACCAGAATGTATTTTTTGACATGCATATTTTGTGCTTCTTTACTCTAGGTTAATGTTTTGACATTATGTTTGTAAGACACGCTCCACAGGTACTTTGCATAGAGAGAGTCTTTGGTACTTGTCAAATGGTGAGATTCTTCAAAATACATTTTTGTTACTGAACACAGACAGTTGTGGTTATTTCAGTTGTTTTGTCCTGTGTCACTGTTTGCTTGTTTAAATGTTTTGTATGTTTCACTGATAGCCAGCCTTTGCTGGTCTAGCTATCTCCCTGGCTGGTCAAGTGGTTTCCAGCCTATAAACCCATAAACTTGTAATAACTTATGAAGGACACGGAGTTACAACATTAAATGACTACCTTGCAAAGTCAAACTGTTGCTGAGTTGTAATATTCTGCATGGATATTGCAAGGAACAACTGAAAGCATCGTTTATGCCCGTTCTTTGTGTATATGCGCATGTTTTATTATTTGCCCGGCTCTCTTCCGGAGATCAGCGAGCGGTGACGCGCAGTCTGCTCGTGCACGGCCCCAGAAGTTCGAGCGCTCGGGTGAAGCAAAATGGCGGAAAGCGAGGATGTTACGTTAGACGGCAAACCGCTTCATTCGCTTCGTGTGGCGGATTTAAAAACCGCCCTGGAGCAAAGAGGACTCGCCAAAAGTGGACAAAAAAATGCACTTATTAAAAGGCTGAAAGGGGTGAGTTTGGTTACAGGGCGGGCTTTTAATACTGTGCGCTTGCTGTCAAGTTGAGCTGAAGACGAGACCCGACAGGCAGGCCAAGTATCGGTGCTTCGAGAGCGGGAATGTTTGTCGAGTGCATATTGAGTTTGTATCGTTTACCGCTTCGCACAGCAGGTTTTTTTTTCTATAATTTTGCAGTTATAACACGTAACTTCTATAATACATTCATACGGATGTATTCTAAACAGTCTGGGTCATGACAAGCCGAGGTCTCAGAGTTGACATCGTGCCCGCGCGTCGTATGTTTGTAGTTGGGGGCGCGCTTGTCAGTCTCATGTGATGGATGCGCGTGGACACTTGCACAACATTTATAAACATTGCCATTTGTTTCTAACGTAGTTAACGTTGCTAGGTGAAAACAAGAATGGTAAACACGCTCATTAATTCATTTCGGGCGATTCCAATGGGCTATTTCTATGCAAATCACACAAGTAATTTGGTTTTAAATACGGCGTTTTTGGAGAATATTTCACACTTCTTTCCCTCGTTCAAAATCAAATTAACGTGAAAGGTTTTTTCATTCAGTCCCTGACTGTTTTCCATCGACAATTACCGTAACGACCGGTAAACTGTCAGATTAACGGAGTCATCCGCTAAGTATGCGCTAACGTAGTGAATAATTTGAAAGGCTAATGACACTCCCACCCATGATATAAACACTCCCTTCAGCGATCCTAAACACTCATTTGAATCGAGTCGCAAGCAGTCATGTGGTGCTGGTCGGGTGAGTAAGATATTATTTAACGTTATGGGAACTGTCGGAGCTTCAAGCAACACGAGCGTTTGCCATAAAAATGTTTATTTGTTTCTTGGGTGTAACTGTTACCTGTAATATGTTCCATAGCTGTATTTTAAATGTGCAATCTGCTGTGTTTGTGAAGGCTCTTATGTTGGAGAATCTCCAACGAACATCAAACCAGCACATTGGTCTTCAGCCCAACTCTCAGGTAAGAGATTTCTTTTTTTATTGATATATTTGTCTAAATTATCAACATGATCAAATATTTGCCAAAAACACAATATATACCACTTGCTTCCTGCTTTTTCATGTTATCATTGTGAAGCACCTTTGATACAATCTGTATTGTAAAAAGCACTATATAAATAAAGGTGTCTTGACTTTTTGATTTATAGTTCATACTTTTGAGGACGTTTTGTTTACATGTTCAGTGAAACATTTAATTGTTATAAATTAAACATTAGATTAGAATAAATTTTATACTAGGACTATATGATATAATCAATAGGACCATGTTTTCTGGTCTGAAAAGCAACTTGAGTTTACTTGATTATCCATAAGAAAATGAAAGAAAAAATACCGTATATTGCAAGATATAGGATATATCTGTATGCATTCTTGAAAGTAATCTGTTAAGAAAAAAAATCTTCATATAAACAACAACATATCCACCAATTTGCATATTTTTGTTCTGGTTTGGCCTCTTACTAAACTGTAGGTGTTTTTTCCTCAAGTATAAGCTCCATATTCTCACTACATATCATACTTTATGGACAATAAAAGCCTGATGCATCAAATAAACTGCTCCATAAAAAACAACGTATTAACCCTGTAAAGACTGACATATTAAATAATAGTCAGAAAAATCTAAGGAAGTATGTTACTTTTTTTTTTTTTTTAATCTGGAATTGTGAATGAGATGACCTTGATTGGAGTGTGCTTTGTCTTTATGTATTTTAGATTGGGGAGGAGATGAGTCAGAACAGCTTTATAAAGCAGTACCTGGCAAAACAGCAGGAGCTTCTCCGACAGAGACTGGAGAGAGAAGCCCGGGAGGCCACTGAGGCAGATGGTAAAGCCTAGTTCACACTACATGATTTTAAAATGTCGGGCTGAACTGTGCAGTTTACACTACATGACTTGCTCTCAGTGAAATCATGAGTGTTCAAGTTGTTTAGCTGTTCACACCACACAACACAGCGTGATTGATCCACAACAGGAGGTAACTCACTACACGAGTTAACAACGCACTACATAGAGATACAACCACGATCACATGATAAGAGCATATCATTTGTGACTCAATGAGAGCTGTTTCAGTACTATAGTACGGTCTAAATCCTGAAAATAATCAAACAAATACGAGTTGACAACAACACGATTCTATCTAGAAACCATGTTTTGTCACGAAAAACCACGCAATAAAACGAACCAGAAATGACGCGAAACTGCAGAGAAGAACACAACACGCGAATATGGACGTCAGACAGAAACTAGTGCTGCACACTGTTTGCTCAACGATCTGCTCTGAGAAAAAAAAAAATGCATAAAAGAAAAAGTAAGATTTACCTGGTGTCCTCAACCCATGCGTTGCTATGATTGGCTGTACTCATGACATCACTGAGATTGAGTCGCGCGACTGCTCGAGATATCTAGCATGCTAGATATTTTTCTGAGCTCGGTGACCTGTCTGCGAGCTGTCTGCGAGCTGTCTTTGATGCGTTGTTGGCTCTTTCACACTATCGGATTGGCGAGCGTTAATCGTCCGCTAATCGCCCGCGATTTGCACGCGATAACACCCTGACTTGTCGGCGACTCAACGATTTGCAAATCGGGCTTAAATCGGGCTTAAAATCACGTAGTGTGAACTAGGCTTAAGCAGACCCACACGTACATATACACACAGGTTATAACACAGACTTGACTACACCATCTGTGCAGGCATTCTCACCATACAGTGATGCATAATGTAAAGTCTCATACACTCATTTAGTATTTCCAGTGATGAGCCTGCCATGCTAATACTGATGCACCAGTTTTTGTCTGGGTGTACATGAGTTAACTTGACTTCTCACACTTGCAGTGTGCTCTGAGGAAATACTAAGTGGTTTTCAGTGCCATTAAACAGTCATACTCTTTATTTGCAGCTTATTATATTGGTTTTTTTTTTCACCTGTACATTATTGTTGCTGTGCAATCATAGCTTTCATAGGGACTTTGACTTTCACCTAAGCTTAAGTTTGCATTTTATTTTCAGACTCTTTAGTTTGTAAGATACTTTTTTTTCTCCTTCAATAAGCTAAATTCATGACTTTTGCAATATGTTGCTTTTAGAGAAACAGAGTCCTGCTGGCCCTGAGGAGGATGACCACATGTCGAAGGGTAGCACTTCATTTCTCCCAGAGAAGGTAAAAAGCTAGTCTTTGAATAAAAGTGCCTTTAAATGTTTGCACAAAGTAAACCTTTATTTGATGTAGTAAGTTTGTGACTGCTGTCAGATATATTTGATCAGCAAATACACAAACTGATTTTTTTGGTTGTAAATAATTTACAAGTGCCAGAGATTGGCTCACATTTTTCAATTTGATTCGTAAGTTCTAGATTTAATTTGATTCTAGTTGTATTTTAGTTAAAATGTCAAAAGGTCTGTTTGAATTCATTCTAACATTCATTTGAAATCAATCTATGACCGTCCTAGTGCAATTCATTCCTTTTTGCCTGCAACTCATCTTTTATGATCACTTTATTCACTATATACACAAACATTTGATTGTTTGGGGTCAGTACGATTTTTTTTTTGTGTGCGTGTAAGACATTTTATAGATTTATTCAGCAAGTATGCATTAAATTGTTCAAAAAAGACATAGACATAATGTTACAAATGATGTCTATCGTAAATAAATTCTGGTTCTTTAAAATTCCTATTCATCAGAAAATGCAGAAAAATATGTATCATGTTTTCCACACAAATATATAGCCTAGTTTTCAAATGTTTCCTGAGCACCAAGTCAGAATATTAGAATGATTTGTGAAGGATCATGTGACAATGTAGTAATAAACCTTGACCATCACAGGAATAAATAATTTTGTTCTAGTATTTCACAGTATTACTTTTTTTATTTGATATTGTTGATCAAATAAACACAGCTTTGTTAAGCATAAAAGAGAAAAACATCTTAAGATAAAATCTTAACCACCCTAAACTTTTGAACAGTACTGTACATTTGCATATTTTACAATATTTTAGTAATATTTTTAATTTTTAAATATTTTTAAGTAATTTCAATAGAGAGAAGTAGCCTGTTATTTCAACATTTGATTTATGAGAGTGATCAGAATGAATAGCCCATACATGCAATCAGGTGAAAGCGGTAGTGGGTCTTACATACTCATGTTGTGCTTCCAATGATGAGCCTGCCATGCTAATACTGATGCACCAGTTTGACTCTTGTCTCTCTGGGTGTAAGTGAGTTCAACTGAATTTCTCACACTTGCAGTGTGCTCTGAGGAAATAGTAGACAGCTTTTATTTACTGTCAAGCAATCGTATTCTTTTGGCTTATTATATTGTACTATTACTAATGCATAACTAATTACAAATTGTGCCTATGTATGTGTTTAATATTTAATTTACAATGTTTTCCAGCATCACATCGGAAGCATTCATCTGTCTGTCAACCAGGCGGGTGGTGGAGGGTTGCCACAGGACCCTGGGGTAATGGGATCACACAGGTTGGATACAGGGCCTGTTCCTGTGTCTCAAGAATTGCCTGACACTAAAGCTGGGAGGATGTGGCATCCTTCGTTCCTCCAAGGCCACGATGAGGGCGCAACACCCTCCCCTCCACGAGCAGTTGCCTCCTTGTCTGTGCGCGTGGTTGGACAACCAGAGCGTCAAGGCCTGCCAATCATGATGCCCCGTTCCCAAGAGAGAGAGGGAACAGCGCCGGTTGAAGCAGGTCCTGCCCATTCAGTGTTGCAGCTCAGCCGTTCTGCAGCTTGTTCTCAAGTTGATAGCAATGATGATGACGAGGAGGATGATGATGATGACGACGACAGTGGTGATAATGATGAATGGGGCCCTTCCTCACGTGTGAAAAAGGACTTCCGGGCTCCTCCAGTACACCCTCCAGCTGCAGCTGCAGCCCCCCAAAGATCTCGTCGAAAGCTTCAGCCACCTCAACACATCCCTCCCCAGCCACAACCAGTCCACCAGCCGCCTCTGCAGCTCCGTCAACCCACTCCTCCCCCATCACCACCTCCAGAGCTGTCTTTCCCACTACCAGACACTCCCAAACAGAGCCCACATGATCAAGATGAACCAGCCGGCATAGCAGAAGATGCTGCTCCAGGGGCAGGAATGGTCTCTCCTCCATCCCTCAAAAGACAGGAGTCCAGCTCCAGTTCTAGATCCAGCAGCCCAGAACCCCCATCCACACGGAGACCTGGTCCCCTTAGCCTGCTGGTGCAAAAAATGGAGTCTGAGGGCGTGTTTGGTGCACAGAAGGTAGGGATGGAGGGAGAGAGAGAAGGAGAAATGGAAGTTGAAGTGCAGGAGGGTGGCAAACCAGCAGCACAAGACTCCGCTCAGCAGCTTCTCGGGTCAGAGGTGTCCATACCAGTACCCACAATGACCCCGGCTCAACATGATGCGCAAAATTCTGAGTTGCAGAAAGAGAAAGACGGGGAGAAAGAAAATAAGAAAGTAGACGAGACCTCTGCACCATTCCGTTTGACATCACCCACAACTTTCCCACCTAAGAGAAAACCAATTTTCTCAGAGGTCCCACCACCTGAGTCATTTAAGTCACCCTCCAAACCTCAGGTGTCAGTCCTTACCACAGCGCCAAAGCGCTCTGAAGATATTGATATGGAGATAGAGGCCTCTACAGAAATGGCTGAATCAAAACATAAGGGGGTCAAACAAATGAAGGTTCTGGAGAAAGAGGCACTTAAACCAGCAGAAGCAAGTAAAAAGGCCCTAAAATCGGCACACGCTACTGAAGAAGGAGAAATAGATAAAACGAGAGAAAGTTCACTGAGAGAAAAATCTCCTGAACGACGCGCATCAACGTCAAGTCAGTCATCATCATCTGATACAGATTCAGAATCATCCTCCTCTCGTTCTTCAAGCTCTCCTTCACAGGAAAAGTCTATCCCACCAAGCCAAAAGAAGGTGAGTAATTATCCTATTTACATATCAGACCATTAATGGTTTTTCATTTTGTTGGTTAATTCTGCCTTTGGTGTGTTTTGATGAAGAACCTGCCATGCTAATACTGATGCACCAGTTTGACTTGTGTCTCTCTGGGTGTACATGAGTTCAGCACAACTTCTCACACTCATAGTGTGATCTGAAGACAAACACAAAGGATATTTAATAATCAATAAAGTACATAATGGAATGAATTCACTATAAATATGATCTTTGACAATATTGTCCTCTAGGATGAGAAAGAGAAAAGAAGAGATGTTGAAGAAAAAAAGAAGGCTCAGTCTTTCAGGTCAGCAAAGTATTTCATTGATGCACTACATTGCCTTGTAAAGGTACAAAAACACAATGCTAAAATGTATATTTTATTTTTAAATTCATTAATGAGCTTTAAACAATATACACAATAAAATGAAACCATTAAGATGCATTCACAGACACAATATATATATTTTTTTATCTTTCTGATCTTGCTGTATCTCTTTTTTGAAGTACTTACAGAATGTAATGTTAAAATTACTCTGTTTTTTGAGGTATGCACAACATTTATTCTCTGTATTTATTTTATTAATCCATCAAGCTCAAATAACTGAATTTTACTGAAATTGACTGGTCAAACAGTGGGAAATCCTTGTCATTCAAGTTACAAGCATTCCTTATTGTCTTTCACATCTCATTGAATTATCTCATAACCATTGTCTTCCCTTTGAGCTCTTTGGAATCAGAGAAATTTGTCCTAATGCAGGACCACCCACCATGTGTGAGCTCAGAAATGCATGAGCTCAAACTCTTCCGTCTGTTGTCATGCATAGTTTAGTGAGATTGCTCATTTGCTCTCATTCAGTGCTTTCCCACCAGGACATCCAGCAGATGGGAGGATGGATCATTTACTCACCCTCATGTCGTTTCAAACTCCTTAAGATTTTGTTTATCTTCGAAACAATTAAAGAAATTTTAAATGAAATCTGAGAGATTTCTGTGCCTCCATTGACAGTCTATGCAACAATTAAAATATCTTCATTTGTGTTTCAAACATGAACAAAAGTCTGACTGGTTTGGATTCACATGAGGATGAGTAAATGATGACAGAACTTACATTTTTGTGTGAACTAACCCTTTAATGCTATATTAAGTTATGTGTTGGATAATTTTAATAATGCAGTGAGGAGAGCTGTGAGATTTTATGAAGACAATACTTAATAATGGTTGTATGTAGTTTTGCAAGAAGGACTACAATAATTAATTCTGACTAATAATTAGAAATGAAGCCAAAAACATCCTAATAAACTTCTCATTGTGTGTATATATACTATAAATGTTTTCCCGGAGTTCTACAGTGACACAAGAAAGTTATAAATTTCTGTACTTCATCAAAAAGCGTTAGAACTAAATAGAGAGAGCCTGATGAAAACAAATAAGTGCAAATTAACAATGTATTATGTGTTAAGCTAAATGATCTGAGAGTGCAAAAGTATGTGATGATCCTTTACTTTCAGTATCTAGTGTAATCTCTTTTTTTAGCAGCAGAATGGCAACCACACGTTTCCAGTGTGGATCAGTCCTGCACATTATGTCTGGAGGAAATTTAGCCAGTTCTTCTATACAACACTGCTTAACTCTGATGTTGTTGGACTTCCTTGCATGACTTACTTAAATATCTTCCTATTTTATCTAAATATGCTGGACCCAAAACCATAGCTTTGCAACCTTTTCCAGCCAAGCAAGCATCAACTTTTTTTTTTTTAAAGATTCTCTTGGATAAATGGTCAATATAAAATGGAAAATGCTAACATTTGTGTTTAGCTAGATTCTCTTAATCTAGTCGGATGAAGAATCTGATAACAACTAAAGTAAAATGTATGAAATAAATAAATAAATCTTAAAGGGATAGTTCTCAAAAAAAATCTAAATTCTGTAATTTTGCCTTAATCTCATGTGGTTCAAAATCTGTATGATTTTCGTTCTTCTGTGCAACATTAAATGATAAATGTCTGTGTATTTTCGGGTTGGTTACCAGCAGTTTTCTTCATCTTTTGAGCTCTGCAGGAAGAAAGTCATACAGGTTTTGGTTTTTAACCACATAAACCAGATGCCTTTTTTCGTCAACTATCCCTTTAAATGTTCACAAACGTAATCTTTCTGTTAGTTCTGGTCATTGGCTAGAAACGTACTATACACTCCTATCCAAATAATTTGTGTTGACTGTTTTGAGGTGAAATGTACGGGCGGTTGTATTTTTAATCAGGCGTTCTATGTGACAGCCTATCAACCGGCGTGGCCTTGGAGGAGGGGTCCTGCTTGTACTCCTCACACTTCCCCCAGCACTGCTCAATATGGCTGCTCTGTGAGCGCCGCCGTGACTATACCGACGCATTGCACAAGAGAAAAAAAACACAGCTTTGCTGCGCGTCCGCTTCTCACATTTCTTCCTACGCATCCGTGACCGGCAGAACCGGTATAGAATCGGTCGTCGCGGTCCAGGTTACAGCCTGACAATATGCTGTCGGACGGCAACAAAAACGGGTAAGGGTTGAGACGGGAGAGAGAGTGGGAGAGGTGGTTTCTAGAAATACCCTACGGCGCTAGGTTAGCACATCGTTAAGGTGATAGATATTTATATTGTGGTCATAATCGATCGAGCGATTGCGTTTATACGGTGGTCCCTGTACTATCTTTAACGTTAGTTAAATGTGCAACGAAACGTCATTTTATCTTTAGTGCTGTCTCGAAATGCGGACATGGCTGTGTTTTAATACCCAGTGATCTGCCTACCAGTATAGCATTTTTGGCGTCGTCATGATCCAAATGAATTAGATGCCGCATATGATGTCCAAAAATGCTTATGGCATCTCATTTGGGTTTTTAAACGCAGACGTTTTCGTCATTATGTTGGGGGAAGGGGTTCTTGTTCAGGCACTTGGGTTTTTTTAAAGGATGTGGGCAATTCTCTGGCATTTTTAATGACTAGAGATGCATGTAGTGTTTAATTAGTAATGGAGATACCCGTGTCCACGATGGCATGTCTGAAAAGGATTTCAACATCTCATGTTATGAATAAAACAATGTTAACTCGGCTTGCATTTCACTCAAATCCATTTAACAGCGTAGCTATTTATGTAAGCAATTAGGTGTAGTGTAAGTGTTGCTTGGCGCTTGATATTGTGGTAAGGAAACACTAAGAGTGATCCATAGTTAAAATTATTATGCCTAAAGTTAAGTGATCCAAATATTAACACAGATCTCTGTATTGGGGTTCAATACTACTTTGCTTGAAGGAAAGCAAATCCTAAGCATGGTGCTCAAATGCTAGTCATTGAAAGTCCTCAGGAGGAAAGGGGATGCATCCTAGTGACCACTTCTGTATATGAATATTATTTTTAGTTAGTCTGAAGAGATTATTATTCGTTAACTTTTATTAAGTGTCTTACTGCAAGGAAAATGAACTCTGGGTCCACTGTAGTTCCGTTTGAGCTAGTCTTTCAGGTTTTCCTCTTGGTTATTGCCAGCTTTGCATTCATGTGTAAATGCTAAGTATTCTAAGCGCTTGGCTGTTTTGTCCACAGGGGCTCTAGCTACCCGTCCCCCTTCCCCTCAGCATGTGTTGACTGCTTTAATACAAAGGGAAAGGGTTGTGCTCAGAGAACCCAGAGGCAGTTTTTCCCTCCTCAGAGCAAATGGCATCAGGTCTGTGTTGTCTCTGGAGACCACGGTGCCAAGGTGTGCTGCACAGGTGTATGTTTATGTGTGTGGGAGAGGGATTGGTTATCTATAGAACAATGAATGAGATTGAATCCCCTGTAGGAATTGGAATGTCAGGAGACGCTTAATCTGTTCCCCTGCCAGTGCTTTGTTTGCCGCGGTATAAATTTGTTATATCAAAAGTGTTGCATACGATACAGTCAAATCTGAACACTGTCGTATGTGTTTGAACGGTTTTATTGTTGTGAAAGCTAATGGTGGTTCTGGCTCATGAATGTTATCAGAAGTACACTACTCAAAAGTATGATCTAAATATTATGGAGAAAAGTCTTTTATGTACACGAAGGCTGCATTTATTATATTAAAAGTGCTGTAGAACAGTAATAATACTGTGGAATATTACAATTTTAAAAAACAATTTTCTTATTTATTATTTTAAAATGTAATTTATTCCTGTGATTTTCAGCATCATTACTCCAGTTTTAAGTGTTGCATTATTCTTCAGAAGGCATTCTAATATGCTGATTTGCTGCTCTGGAAACATTTCTTATTATCAATGTTAAAAACAGTTGTGCTGCTGCTTAATATTTTTGTGAAAACTGTGATGGGCCTCAGTTATGACTTTGAAGCCCTGGGAAGTTTTCATGAGAGTGTGCACACTTATGTGGTGGAAAGTTCAAAGGCATCAAAGCGAATATTTGTTACCAAGCAACCATTCGCTTGATTTTTATTTGAACTTAACAAGGTGAGTGGGCTATGTAAAGCATGGCAATTTTAATGCATCATTTACTTAAAAATAGTGTTTACTTAATACATTTATGTACTGAGATTTGTATGCAATGCATTGTATAACAAACTAGTGGTTTCTTAAATCAGATTTTTTTTTTATCAGACTCACTGCTGCACGCATGTTACATCAAGTATACTTAAATTTATCTTCCTTTTAATTCATCTGTTTGCAGTTGTATTTCCTCTCTAGCTGTACAATTCAGTACTACAGATAACTCATAATTCACACAAATTGAATGCGTGTATTATTTGTGTAATCGGGCCTTGGTTAATGACAATAGGTAGTGTTGTATTTGTTTTTCCCTCCAAATGTTTGCAAGTTTTCTGACTGTGGTTGAAAGATATCTTGTTGTTATGTATGTGTGTAATGCTGGATGTGAGAGTCATTTAGCCAGGCAGTTATTTATAGGTGGAGTGACCCAGATCAAGCAGCCTCAGCCCCCTTACCCCTTACTCTCTTTCTGTCTCTCTTTCTCTTGTTCACTGACTCTTTTTCTCTAGGGAGGTAAAGCAGGAAGCTCTCTCTGAGCCTGCAGGCCAAGTTGCTATGGAGCTGGAGGGCCGCTCGCATTCAGAGAGTGCTCTGCAACAATCTGACCAACAGGGGGCAGAATCAAGTGACTCCCACCCCGAGGAGGTAAGAAGGTCCACAGAACGAAGACCCAGTGGAAACTATAACTCTGAAATATGACAAGGGGATAACTGAAGTTTGTGAGACATTTCTATCTGAAACTTTTGAAGCCAAAGTGATCTCAAATTGTCATCTTTCTTCAGATTCAGTTATATTTATATCAGGTTCAGGATATTAGATTACTGTTACCATTGTTTCATTTAACTCGGTAGCAGCAGCTGTGGCAATGTCTGGGGGATGTGGATGGCTAATAATGTGTGAAATTAGAAACAGAGTAGGTCATTGCGTGTGTGAGAGGGAATGAATCAGTGCTAATTTTAGATGGGCATTTTACATTTTTCTATTTAATATAAATCTTTTTGTAGCTTAAAAGAGTGTTAGATGGGTTGGAGTGGTCAACTAGATGTTCATTAACCAGATAGTAGATTGAGGTCAGCAATTTTTACTTATTTTACTGTCAATATTTTTAAAAGTGGTATTTTATAGAAGTTTAGAGATGCTTTTTTGCAATCTCCATCTGATAATCCTCTTGAAAAGTTACATCTCTAAATTTATCACTTTTTATAAAACAATCCCACTTTATGTGCCATAAGTGTCTTTCAGTTGTAGGGAGCAGATGATAGACCCTGGCAACATGTAGTTAGAGATGTAGGCTCTTTCTGTCTTCTCTCCCTTTTTTTCCTGCTATTTCTATCTCTCTGCCACTCTGTCTTTTGCTCTTGTTCCCTTTCTCTTTTTATCTCTGGATCTAGTAGTATGACTGTTTTGTGGTTTAAAATCCCATTGATTGCTTTGTTGTGAAGGTGCCCTCCCCTCTTCCATTGCTCATACTGGTACCTGCATACTGCCACCACCTCTTCTCCTCTACCACCTCCATCACCTGCCCCGCTATGCCCAAGCGTCTCGGCTGTACCTGAGCTAGGCCCCCAGAGTCGCCACTGCACACTTAGCCTGACGGAACCTGCCGGATCATTGGCCACTACCTCGTCATACAAAACTGATGTGGCCTCCTGATGGAACTGCTTATGAGAAGCCAAAATAGCTGGTGAGCTGGAGGTGTCAGTCGTGTTTGTGGAAAACAAAGAATGCTGCTCACCAACAAAGACTTTTTTCAAAGTGTGAATGCTAACCGAACACAAACATCAGATGGACTTCTGTCATCATGATGGGAACAGTCTTGACGCCTCCTGCTATTTTCACTCACACTTACGTACTTGAAAGAACTGATTATCTGCACAGACTCTACACAAACACCTGCTGCTTCTCACATGCCTGTGGACTGAGCTCAATGCTTTGAGCAGTCTGAGATAATGAAGCGATGCTTATGGACTAATCACTGGATTTGCTACCAACTATTTTTCCTGTCATTTATTCAGTTTGTCAACAGCCATGCAGCACTAATACAAATGGACTTGCTGGGATATTTCAAAGAACTTTATGCTTCAGTCTGACAAAATAACCTTCCCTGAAAATTCTCCGATAAACTTGTGGACAGCATGAGCATTGCCCTTTGCAAAACGTTGAAAAAGGAAACCATCTCTACCAATGTGTTTTTGTGGCACACCATGTGTACAAAGGACTTTCAGTTTATGCAGATGATAAAATGCTGTGACAGATTGCTACCAGTATTTTGGCTTATCAAACATCATGTGATTCTCGTTGGTTTGTAATGAGGATGGCCAGTGAGGACACCGGGAGTTTTTTGCCATGCTTCCGTTGTTTCCTGAACACTCGACAACTTAAAAGACTTTCAAAGACCATTGGGATCACAAATCCCACCACGAGAAAAAAAAAAAACATTGAAAATCATTGAAACAAAGTGCAGTTCCTGTCAGCCGGCCAATCAGCACACTCAATTGTGATCGTATCTCGCCCTCACTTCTCAGCCTCCTCTGATTGGACCTTTGTTGCCTAGATACAGTGCACACTGCTGTGCGGTTGGGCCATAGCCAAGCCAGAGAGGAATCAGGTGTCAATGGTACCAGGAAAACCCTTTTTCCCAAGATGTATTTGTTTTTAAATAACTTAGTGGAAAGAAGGTTTTTTGCTTTGTTAATAATGAGGTTAGAGGGTGTTGGTAATCCTGTACTTTACAGCACATATGGGAAAGTAGGGAAATTTAATCAAACATTTGTTAGCTAAAGTTATGTTAAAGTAAAAACTAAAGCCATGTAGGGGACTTTTAAATCCAGAAACAGTTTATAATAAATGGTGGGATTCTCAAAGCAACTGTACATTATTGGTGTAACTGATAGCTGTGCATCTGTTCTTCCCCCCTCTCCTTTTTCTTATTCCCCTCCTTTTCCCAATGTCTCTTTTGTCTGTTGTGTCTGTCTCTTCCTCCACACATCCACTGGGATCTTGTTTCTCCTCCTCTATTTCATTTCAGAGCTCCACTGCAAAATCGTTTGCTGCCCGAAAGATCTCCCTGAGCAGTAAGTGTCTTTTGAAAAGTTTGTTTCTCTTACCCCATGTCTACTGACAGGTTGCTGCAGCCCATTCTGTGCATTTCTCTTCTAAGAAAAGTAATAATTGTCCCTGCACTGCCTATTTAAACCAGCTGATCTTGAACCTTAATTAGTAACGTGTGGGATGCTGTCCGCACCAAGTGCAGTTTTTACAACAACTAGAGTGATGCAAATTAAATTACGTTGCACCAAAAATCAATGTGAGACGTGATGTAGCTGTCCACTTTGAAAGCAGTGCATTGCATGTGCTGTGCATTGTTGAAATAAACCGCTCCAATTGTTGAGCTGCAACGTTAACAACTTTTCTCTTTTTATCGAAAATGTTTGTTCAAATAACTTGAATTGTAATTGCATCTGTTAAATCTTAATTTAACTTATATGTATTACATTACCTGTTCTTTCATACTTAAGGAAACTAAAGTAAATTGCACTACTATTCAAGTGAAAAGAGGGATTACAGAGTCAATTAGGAATTGTTTCACTATGCTCCTTTACCAGTCATTTACAGATGGATCTGGCTGTGCAGATTTGTGATTTAGTTTTTCTTTGCACTAGGTAAAACCGAGATTGCATCATCTGAGTCAGAGCCTGTGGGCGGAGCCAGCAGGAAGAGAAGGTGGGGGTCTAGTACAGCAGTCACCGCCAAAAAGCCGTCAATCAGCATCACCACTGAATCGCTGAAGGTAAATCACCCAAGACCACCCCACATGACATTAGCAGGTGTGCAATGAATAGCTACCTGTTCTTGACAGCTGCTTGAATAAATTCAACGTTATAGGGTCAGAGTTTTATTTGATGAAAAGCTTAAATGTATAGACCATGTATAGTTTGGACAGAATTTAACTGAATAAGATTATCAGTTCTGTGCTTTAATAGTACTGCTTAAAAGTATATGTCTTTTATGTGACTTAAAAATGTTCATCTTTACAGACACTGATTCCAGACATCAAGCCCATACAGGAGGCGGTGGTCGAACTGCACCCAGACGAGAGCCGTCTCTCTGTGGACGAGGACTCATCTGGGCCTCGTGAGCGAGAGGAACCAGAAGAGGATCAGGGTCTCAAGATCAGACGCACAGTGACACAGGTGAGCACAGGCTTATGACTGGCTGACAAAACAAATTTTAAGGTTTGACTTAGGAGTAGTATAGGAGGAACACCAGTGCTGAAGGCTGCGGCACAATACTGCAGAATTAACTTTAGTCATTTTAAAGCATTAAGTGACTTTAGGAGTAAATCTTTTTATAGGAAAGCATTTTGTCGAGCATTTTTCTTGTCCCTTTAAACAGATTGTTCCGTCTGATGGACATGAGAATGGGCAGAAAGAAATGGAAGAGGAGGAGGATGATGAAGAAGAACCGAAATGGACAGGAGGAGAGAAGGAAATGCATAAGAAACAGGAGAGCTCCCCTGATGCTTGCATAGAAACACAGGAAGGTGATTCCAAGAAAGGTAATTCCTTAATTTGCTACTGTTATTCCCACATATCCTTGTTTTTTTTACAAGTAAGATTATAACTGTTTTTATTTTGCTCTCTCAGTTACTCCCAATGATTCGTTGGTGCGGCGCTCCATCAGTCAGCAGAAATCAGGAGTATCCATAACTATTGACGACCCCATTAGGACAGGTCGCCAACTGTCTCCTCCTCGTGGAAAAACCTCCAAAATCATACACGTATGCAACCTGGTAAGCACCAGATGACGTTCATTTCATTGCTTAGTGTCTCACTGTAATGTAGGGATGTCTCAAATACAAATATTTTAAGAGTGTTAATAGTGCCACTGAACTGCTAAAAGCTTTAACTCTTATGAGGAACATTATACTTCAGGGTCCGATTTCTTGTGTTATGATGGAGACACTAATAGTTTTGCTGATCTTTTGACTCCTGCTCTCAACTGTTTCTCTCTAGGTGCGACCCTTCACCTTAGGGCAGCTGAAGGAGTTGTTAAATCGGACTGGTACATTGGTGGAGGAGGGTTTCTGGATCGATAAGATCAAATCTCACTGCTATGTCACAGTAAGATTGCTCTTTATTATTTTTAAAGCTCATTATTATTATTTATTTTATTTTTTTACGACCTCAAAGATTCAATTATGAAAAAATTATATTTAAAATAAATGCTTTTCTTTTGAACTTTCTATTCATCAAAGAATCCTAAATAATACATGTTTCCACAAAAATAATAATAATGTTTTTAACATTGAAAATAATAAGAAATATTTCTTGAACACCAAATAGCATATTCGGATCATTTCTGAAGGATCATGTGACACTGAGGACTGAAGTAAAATTCAGCTTTGCATCACAG